TTTTTTGTTATTCCGTGCATTCAAGTATGGGCAATTACTAGTATTTTTATATTATTGAAATTCACGTGTTCTTATCACCATTCAATATGTGATAAAAATGTTTTAATACTATTGTTTGGGGGTAAAAAGAAAAATAAATGTTTTTCAAGTATGTTGACATTTTAAAGTAATATAAATTATATTAACCTCTAGATTCATCAATTTAATATTAAATTTTATCAAATTAATGTCATCAATTTAATATTTAATTTTATTAAATTATTGTCATCTTAAATTTCAATGTATTCTCCTATGTCTTTGCATTTATCAACGGTTAAAGAAGACACCAATCCTATAATAATACATCACAACATATTAATATAACAAAATAAAAGCAAAAATTAAAAAAATGTGCACGAACAAAATTAAAAAAAAAAATTGCATGAAAAATATTTAAAAATCTACATGAAAAAAATTAAAAATATCTGCATGAAAGAAAAACCTACATGAAAAAATTTAAAAAAATTTGCATTAAAAAAATTGTTAATAATATCTGCATGAAAAAAATTTTAAAAAACTGCATGAAAAAAAATAAAAAAAACTACATGAAAAACATTTATAAATCTGAAATAAAAAATAAAAAAATATTTTTTTTATCAACTTAGATAGTGATTGATCACTGTGGAGAACAAGTTGAAAAAGAATGACTAGCTTCAGTTCTTTATGTCTTCTGGCAACACTAGATTATTTTTGACCTTCAACAACAACAAAGGGTACAGTATATATAGTTGGAAAAGAGTTGATGATATTTTAGTATATTTACATAAAGAAGGATAATTTTGACATTTTTAGAAATTTTATAGTCAAACCGTGTTTTTTTAATGACAGAGTTAAAAATTACCGTTAAGGGGATGTCTTTGATTTGAAAGAATAAATCAAAAGGAGATACAAAGAAGTTTCCGAATAGGGAGAGAGTGTTATTGAATTTAGACCTAACCGGAAGATATAGATGAAATTTTCCCTTAATCTAATTGACTATGTTGAGATAATACACCAATCATATGTTTCCACAAAGAAAATATGATGTATGTGTGATCACCCATAATTATGTTGATGTAGAATAAGTTGTAGTAGATTATTATGAGCGGAAGGCCGTCCTGCATTAAAAACTTAGCCAAAAGCTACAAAGGAGTACTCCCGAACTAATAGGCCAACGATCAATTCTCATAACTGTGCTATTAATTCTGTGTTTCAACAAGCATCATTGTTTGAGCCTTCAAAATAGTTTTTTTGCCATTTTAAGAAAATAATTTTAATATTAATAATAAATAGTAAAAAATTTTGATTTTTCTATTGTTTGTTTTGTTAAATTCCAAAAAACACATGTTTTTATGTCACTTACATAGATTGCATTTTTTTTAGGGAAAATTTCAACCGCACCCCTTCTAGTTTATCATATCTTCAAAGACATCCCCTCTATTTTCTGAATCTTCACTGACATTCCTATTAGAGTAAAAATATTAATTAAAATACAATTTTACTAAATTGTTCATGATATATTTGAAGACAAACTTCATTCACACCCCCTCTCTAGATAAGCATATCTTCAATGAGACCCCTTCTGTTTTCTAATTTTTTTTAAGTATTAAAATTCGGATCGATTATAATTTGATTCAAGCTAAGTAAATTTTTGTTTACATATTAAAATTTGAGCAAATTAAAAATTATATTTTTTACGCATTAAAATTTGGGCTAATTAAAATTCTATTTGAGCCAATTAAAAATTATTTTTAATGGACTCAAATCAAATTTTAATCAACTCGTATTGAATTTTAATCTGCCCAAATTTTAATAAATAAAAAAATATAAATTTTAATTGACTCAAATTTTAATAAATCGAATTTTAATTAACACGAATTTTAATAAATAAAAAAATATAAATTTTAATTAAATTGAAAGCGAATTTTAATCGACGCTAAAAACTCGCGTAGAGTTTAAATCGGCACAAATTTTAACACAAAAATAAATTTTAATAAGCTCTAATTTTAATGATATAAAAAAATAAAATTTAATCAGTTTCAATTGAATTTTAATTGGTTTAAATTTTAATATGTAAAAAAATAAATTTTAATCGGCTCGAATTTTAATAAAATTTTATGTAAAAAAATTATTTTAAGTTTATGTAGGGACATTTTGGTATTTTAGATGATTTTTTTTTTTGTTAGAAATGATAGTTTAATGGTAGGGGGTGTTAGTGATGTTTAAATATAAACTATATGGGGTGTCAGTGATTTTTTGATAATAAAGAAGGTATTCTTAAAGATATAATAAACTCAGAGAGGTGTGACTGAAATTTTTCCCTTTGTTTTTTAAGTTCTAAAATTCCAGCTCAATCCAATTTCAAAAATTTAGTCATGGGTTAGTTTCGAATCGGAGTTGCTCGGGTTGTGGTTTGGTTGGGTTAGACTCGGGTTGAAATTTATAATAATAAGATAGGATCATTTTTGAATCTCTAAATTAGGAAAGCACACGATTCAGATTTATTTAAAAAAATTGATTCAACGGTCTAAAATCACTTGTAAAAAATTTTCCCCCCCGGTCTAAAATTGATCCAAAGATTGAACTCACTTCCAATCTCCCTCTCACGTTTCTTCTCTCTCTTCCCTCAGCCCTCTCAGCCTTAATCACTCATCCACTCCCCCTAAACTTCATCTCTCTCCCGTCTACCCGCCCTGTCTTTATCCCCATCTCCCTCATATCTCTGCCCCTCTCTGTGCTCCTTTGCCTCCGTCTCTCTCACCCTCATCTCTGTTCTTCCACCCCTTAGCCGATGGTTTCCCTCTCTATCACATTTTTTTGGTTATTATGGGTGAAATCAAGCCCATGATTTCCAACTAATTTTCTTTTGGTTATTACCAGATTTCCAAGAGAAGGCCCGCGCCACCACCACGACACCGGTGTCCCTCTGAGGTAGTTTTCTTTCTCCCTTCCCCACCGCTTATTTCTGTCATCCTTTCTGCGCACAAACCGCCCCCATAGATGCCCTAATTCGCGTCTCCCCTCTTCTTGATTCTTTCATTCTCTCTTCTTCCCTTCCCCGTTTCTCTTCTTTCCATCTCTCTCCTACATCGGTAACCACACGACTCTCTATTTATCTCTGTCTCTATCAGTCTCTCTCCGTACAACACACATATCGTATGCAAGGTGTTCGACCAAATGCACACAAGGTGTTCGATCAAATGACCAAACGCACACACATAGCATGCACAACACGCACACCACACGCCACACTGCCCACACATACACACACAACAGTACACACGCCACAAAGCTCACATACATGCACAATATAACACATAACACAACACACACACGTACAGTAATACTTTATGACTGATTGCAGTAGTTTTCAAACCTTGCAAATGCCTTAGATAACTACAAATCCTGTAGTAGTATTGAAATGCTTTAGCTTCAACCCTTAAGTATTTGAAATTATTCTTTTTATGCTTAATAAAATCTGAAATGACTTTTGAAATTGAAATTTGGATATAATGTTCAATGGTGGAATGGTCATCAAACTTAGAATTTTCTAAGTTTCAAAATGCCTTCAAGTATGGGTTATTACTAGGATTTCAATTTTGGGTTTGTTGCATGATGATAATCTTATACATAAATGCATTGGGGTATGTGTTATATGGGATTTTAAGGAAAAAAACTTTTGACTGAATTTCTTATTTTTAAGGAAAAAACCTGTTGTGTGATACGAGGTTTTTGTGCGGTTGAGTTTCTTAGTTCTATTTATTTTTTTCAATTGTACTATTCAGTTTTGAATGAATTATGGTGTTTTTTTTTTATATTGAATGAATTATGGTGTTTATGTGGACATAAAAAGAGTTAAGATGGATGTGATTCTTCCGAGTGACTGAATTGCTTGTATTTGAAGATGAAGTGTTTATCAACTTCATATATGCTCTTTTANTATGGTGTTTATGTGGACATAAAAAGAGTTAAGATGGATGTGATTCTTCCGAGTGACTGAATTGCTTGTATTTGAAGATGAAGTGTTTATCAACATCATATATGCTCTTTTAGACGAGCGGGTAATTTAACCCCCATTTCCATTTTTTTTTGTTCTTAGGAGTCATGTATTCGATAGCATGATATGACACAAAAAATAGTGAGCTGGTGACTTTTTTGTCTTATAAATTTTTTGGCATTGACCATCCAAAAACCTCTACCATTGCCCAACACCACCCCTTCCTCCTCTCCCCTATTTGCCAAAGCCATTGACCTAAAAAATCATTGTTGTTTTTTTTATAGTATGTCTGTCATTTTTAATTTCCTCTGCTTAGATTTGTTTTTTAATTTTTTTTCTCCTTTAATTTTTGTATTCTTTTGATGCTAAGTTTTGGTTGAAGATGGCTATTAATATTACTGTTTTTGTTCGTTTATTCTCATTTCAGTATCAATCGAATGAAATATTTTGTAGTTGATTGGGTATAAGAAGTGAACGTTGTTGTGGGTAGCTAAGATTCTATACTTCGTCGATCAAGCATAGCTATCTAAGTTTTTATGCTTCTTCAATCTATGATTTGGGTACATTTTTTGATTGTTGATCAATTTAATAGTTTGGCAAAGCTCGATAGTTGATTTTAGAATTGAATCACTAAAAGTTGTGTAACTTGGTGGATATTTAACCTATATTTTGATGTTTGTAGGTGTTGTTAATATGCAAAGATGTTTGTATATGTTTGCAGGTTTTTAATTTGATATTTTTCAATTGTGTTTTGAGTTAGTTATTTGAGGCAATGAAAGATTCATAAGATCATTTTTATATTCGAAATTTGATTTGTTTGCTTATTTTTTTTTCAATTGAATGGGTCAATGTACTTGAGAAATTCATAGGAAAGGGGCTAGATATTGATATTTTTACAGAGACAATTGAATTACTAGATGCTCACAACTAAAGTTGGATATCTTGCCAAGTTTATGGATCATGATTTTAAGGGGGAGATGAGGAAATGGGTCATGGTCGTGGTCGTCGGTCGAGTTTGATGGGAAAAGATGGCTTGGACTTAGAGGCGACGTTAAGTATGGTATACATGTATGTTAATTGGTAGTATTTGTTGGTGAGATCATGAATTATCACCTTTTTTTTTTTTTTTGCATGTGATCAAGCCACTATATTGGTTTTCGTATAATAGGTGACACTGGGAGGCTTAATGTACTCAGATTGTAATTTTGTTGGTATTGAGATATTGTCATTAATTGAGTTTTTTGCTTTTGTTGGTTAAAGTTTTTTGGAAATGTACTTTTGAGTAAGAATGGTTGTTCAATTTATATCAATGAATTTTTATTTTTTTATTCTACTTTTTTGTGTTATAGAATGTTGTTAGGCACAGACATTAACTTTAGAGGTTTTATTGTTTTTTGTATATTGGGCAATTACGTGCTAAGGTACTATGTCGGTGATTATAATGTTATTTGGACAGTTACATTAAAGCTACTATATGTTAATGCAGTTAAATAATCATTTGCAGTAAAGTATACTTCAAGTTTAATTCAATTTTATTACATGAAGCATGCATTTTATTTTTTTTATACAATTATGAGAAACCACCAATAATTGCATGAGGTATTAATCTGGTGGAGATTATAGCCGTAGAGATTGGGTTATAACTTATATCTCAATGTCCACATGGAGTTTATTGCAATGTGGTTGNGCAGTAAAGTATACTTCAAGTTTAATTCAATTTTATTACATGAAGCATGCATTTTATTTTTTTTATACAATTATTAGAAACCACCAATAATTGCATGAGGTATTAATCTGGTGGAGATTATAGCCGTAGAGATTGGGTTATAACTTATATCTCAATGTCCACATGGAGTTTATTGCAATGTGGTTGATAATTCTGATTTAGTTGGTGGTTTGAATTGTTACAGATTGCTTCAAATCTTAGTTTTCTATCTAATAATATGTAAGAACATCATTTTCATTGTGATTGAGTTTCAATTTCGTTTTTCAAGTGTTGAATTAAGGTTTTGTTAATTGTTGAATGTTATAGTTGGTAGTGGTATTGTATGTAGTTTGTATATGTTTTGTTTGTTCCGTATTTAGTACGGTGAATTAAGTATGCATGGTTATGAAGACANGTTGAATTAAGGTTTTGTTAATTGTTGAATGTTATAGTTGGTAGTGGTATTGTATGTAGTTTGTATGTGTTTTGTTTGTTCCGTATTTAGTACGGTGAATTAAGTATGCATGGTTATGAAGACATGTTTGGTTTGATGTGAATTGTTGGTTGTGTTGGTCATTGATTTTGAGGGAAATAGAATTAAATTGTGGTGGTACGGTGTATTATGATGATTGTTATGTACAATTGTGAGTTTTGTACATAAGTTTAGATTTTTTTAAGTTCCTATTTTTTGAAAAAATTTTGCTAAAATTTTTGAAAAATAGTAGGAACTAGCTTGATTTTAATTTGTTATATTAAAGAAAATGAAGTAAACATTATTTCAAATTGACAATTTGTTTTAGGTTATAAAGTGTTTTTAAACAATGTAATATTCGTTGAATTTTATTTCAATTTTTTTATTACGTCGTGCCTTCTGGCANGTGTTTTTAAACAATGTAATATTTGTTGAATTTTATTTTAATTTTTTTATTACGTCGTGCCTTCTGGCACGAGCAATTACTAGTCAAATAATAAGAAGTCATATACGAAACAATTTCTAAATTCAATACTCAGGTGAGACCGAAGATGAATCAGAAACTTGGACGAGGGAAGCAACCCACAGGTACTCCATCATTAGCGTGGTCATGTGCTGTCGTCATTGTTTCGATTCTCGCCGGTGCCTCCGTCGTCCACAACATCTACAAGCCTAACTTGGTAAGTGGTAACTGTCTTTTTGGCTGTTGATAATGCTGTATTTTTTTGTTGTGCCCGTAAGCTGTTTGATAAAATGTCTTTTGACATTTTCTGTATGATATTTGAACTACATCTTTACCTAGTATTGCTCGGTGTCTTTCTGTGCAGAATTATGTTTCCTGTGGTTTCAAATGCCCGNGATCATTACCCAGTATTGCTCGGTGTCTTTCTGTGCAGAATTATGTTTCCTGTGGTTTCAAATGCCCGTTACTCTTTGATAAAATGTATGTGACGGTATGAACTAAGTATGTGAATAATGGTTAGTCACTACAGTAGAAGACATGATAAGCTTGTGAGCCATTCAGCTTTACTATACTCCACATTTCTGTAACCTGTTTGATGAAATTTATCTTGGGAATTTTAGAGTCTGATTCCCAAACCAGGGGACCTGGCCAGTTGTGGACACGATTGGTTGGTTTTAAGCTTGCTGGCGTTTGCAAGTCCTCTTTCCAGATAGATTCAATCCTGCATAGAAAATAAGACACTAATTAATTCGGTTTTAGTTTTGCATTAAACCTAATGACCTATGAAGCATTGATACTTTGATTGGGGCGTGAATACCTATATTTGTCGGATACTCGTGGTCATGGATACATATTGGATACTTTTTGCACGTATCGAATAATTAATAAAGCCTATATCCCTGTTGGATACTTGTTGGATGCACCTTAAATATGTGTATGTCCATGGTGGATATATTTGTCTTATACTTAGTGGTGTGAGTTATGTAGAACACATCAATCATACAAATAGGGATTCCTTGTTTGAAAATATTCATTTGAATGTGCATCACATATGTCACAAGATTTATCAATTCTTTACAATTTGATTGGCTTGAATAATAATTTTTATGGCTTATGTCAAAGCCAATGAAGTTTATTACAATTAAATGCTAGTTAAAAATTGAGAACTCTTGAAAGGTGACACATATGCAACTTTAGAATTAAATAGAACATTGGATTTGAAACACCATTAAGTTGTCCATATGTCAACAAAAATAAATTAATTTAATTTGGGACGTGTTTTATCTCTTAATCCCTCATATACCTACTATTGTGATAATATTCTATATTCTATATATTGTTTTAATTTGGAACATGCTTTATCTCTTAATCTCACATGTAGCTACTATTGTGATAACATCCTATATTATGTATATAAATGTATCATAGTTGTATTCGTATCCTATTTTTTAAGATTTTGTCGCATCGTCATATCTATATCTATGCTTCCTAGCTGATACCAAAATTAGGTGAGCCTTCAACTAAACCAATTCTTGATTTTTCAGAAGACCACCTTCAGGATTGATTGACTATCATTGTCAACAAATCATATTCATTTTTGGATGACTCAAATCTCCAATACCCAGAAAATTATGGCATTTTAAAAGATCAGCCTTTCCTTTTTCTTTTGTATATAAGAAATCGACCCTCCAATTCATTATATCGGCATTATCTTTAATTTTATCTTTCAAATTTCCTGTCTTATTTATCATATTCTTGATGGAGTTTCTGTAATGTGATGTGCAGACTTTACCACCAGTAGAAGGTGCTGATGGGACCAAGGTCAAGCCACCTGATAAGAAATAAGTTTTTTTTTTTTTTTTTGTTGCATTCAGTATGAAATTTGTTTTTGGTATTGAGGACAGAGATAACAATGCATTTCACTGTTATCTCCATCCTAAGTAATGAATCTCAAATGCCATCAAAATGTTTTCATGTGAAACTTTTTTTTTGGGTTATGTTTTCAGTGATGTCTTATTTCATTGCTTCACCTTTGGCAGACATGTCGATAAAAGTTTCCATGTGCACTAAAACATAGGTGATCCAGGCGTTTTGATTTATGCACCTTCTCAGCCGAGAATCTGAAACCATTGAAATCACCTCCTTCAAATTAAAGAACTTAAGAGAGTAAACAAGGTAAAGCAGCTTCCTTTGCGTCTTCAGCTCATAAACTCAGTAAAGTTTTACTAAACAAGTGAGAAACTTGACTTTGAGAAAGAAGGGGGCACACTACGGAACCACATTATCACAAGATAAATTGATAGAGAAATGGCCCCGCTAAATCGTGTAGCAAGTAAGAAAGCCATAGCAGTTCAGAAATAGTAAGGTCTAGTGCCTTATCATAAGTTATGCTAAGCATTACTCCTAAAATGTTCAAATCCTGANTAAGAAAGCCATAGCAGTTCAGAAATAGTAAGGTCTAGTGCCTTATCATAAGTTATGCTAAGCATTACTCCTAAAATGTTCAAATCCTGAATCTTTGNACATTATCACAAGATAAATTGATAGAGAAATGGCCCCGCTAAATCGTGTAGCAAGAAAGCCATAGCAGTTCAGAAATAGTAAGGTCTAGTGCCTTATAGTCTGCTTCGGCACTAGACCTGAAAAAAGTTGGTTGCTTTTTGAAAACTACAAGTCAGTAGGTTTTTGCGAGAAATATGCAGAAGCCCATAGTTGACCATCTACTACCTGGGTAGCCAGCCCAGTCGGCATTGGAGAATGTAAAGAAGATGGTTAACGTGCACCCTATTGAAATCCAAGTTGGAATTGCCCCTTTTGAGAGTGTATTGAACTACACTGGGGGTGATTAGGAATACAGCAATCCTCCTTCTCTAAAGCAGTGTAAACTTGTCCTTGGGAGAGCCAACTACACTAAAAAAAGCCATGAACTACTGAACGGTATCCTATGTTGGTTCATCTGCATTGAGCATATGGTGTTCTTTATGCCCTTTTGGACTTCACTTTGAGTTGTCAGATATGATTCATACAGGAAGTACAACTGAACTCGACTCAACTCAATTCAGTCAGGGATCACTTCCACAACTCGAGCTCAAGATTGAAACTCTGCATTGGGTTAACAAAGCAATAGCCAAAAGCATATGGATTTAGGATTATGGTCATATCCCAGTTAATGAGTCACCCCACTTGTGACGTGGAGGTTCTCGGTTCGACTCTCCTTCTTCTCCCCTGTATGGGAACTACTGTTCAAAAAAAAAAAAACAGAATAATTCTTCATTTGAACTATGGAAAATTAATGTCTTATTCCTAAAAGTAAGTATGTATGTAATGTACCATATGGCCTCCTACAAGCTGACAATGTTCTTCAACCAAAGAAAACCAAAAGTAGAACGGGGTGAATGTAAAGTCCACACAAAAACAAAAGGTAGGACTATTGATCCCAAAACTAAATTTTTAATACTATGATTAAAATTATTTCGAAACGTGAATTTTAATTTAATTTATTTGTAATTATTGGTAAAGAATTTACTGATGGAGCAATCCTTTCGACTAAGTCTCTTCATACGATTGCTTGAATGGGGTTCAAATATCTTCTTTCAGAACTTATTTTTATGAATTTGATCTACAGATTTAAAGCACTCGGATTAACAAAAATGAATTTTTTTATTAATTTGAACTATATTATCAGTTATAAGAGCATCTCCAACAGATGCTTCAAATGCCCAAAATAGGTAAATTTTAACTAATCAAAGCCAAAAATAGCACTCCAACAGATTATATTCATATGTTGTAAAATAAATTTTTGTTGCAGTGATGCTCTAAATATAGAGCATAACTGTAGCAATATGTAAACATAATATATATTATTTTCTCTCTCTTTCTTTCATTTTTTCTGTTATCTCTCTTTCTCACTTTCATTATTCTCAAAAAATATAATATAAAAGGGATGATAAATAATATTTAAAAGGTGTAATTAAAAATGTAGAGAATCTGTCGGAGTGTGTATTGAAAAAATAAGTAGCTAAAATAGAAAAAGTTATTTTTTGGATAACTAAAATAACTACTATTGTTGGAGATGCTCTAAGAGACTAATAAATCAATCTTAACTACAGCACCAACTCTTATCATAAGTTATGCTAAGCATTACTCCTAAAATGTTCAAATCCTGAATCTTTGATGAGTTTGATGGTATTCTTCTTCTTCTTGTGATTTTTGTCTCTTTTATAAGTACTTCTTGTGGACGGTTATCCTAGTAGATCACTTCCATCTTCTTCCCTTGTCCCATTTGCTGCCTTCTTGATTTTCAAAGGTCCACCCAATTTTGATCTTTTTGTTAATAATTGCTTCTTCTTTTTTTTTTTAATACAGAGTAACTACTTATTCCCTCAAAACAAGAGACTTTGTGCAACTACTCTTCTCTCAATTTAATAATTCATGTCGATTGGTTTGCTTACTCTAGTGTTTATTAAATGATGATCACGTAACACATCGCTTTAATTGATTCATTTTATGAACAGATGTTATTCATTATTCACAAAAATTGTGAAATAATATTCAAACAATAATAAAAAATGGTGAATAATAAATAAAACAAATTTGTACTTGTCAAGAATATATACTGATGATGCACAAATCGGTATTGTGCAAAATTAACAGTCGAGTATATCAAGAGACACAATTAATGAACAGTAAATAGACAATGACAAACAGTAAATATGGAATCAACACATAGATTTATAGTGATTCGGTCTAAGTGACCTACTCCACTCTCGGGAACGGCAACGATGACTGAAAATCTTTATTGATGAATAAAGTTGCTAGAGAGAGTATTCTCCAGGAGTATTACAATGCTTTGGGAGATGAGAACAATGTGTGTAAGAAGGTGTAGTATATGTAGGAATCTTGTAAAGGTCTCAAGGTCATGTCAATGTGTGTAGATCTCTCTCTTTATGAGAGAACTTACATTATATAGACTCGGTAAGGCGGTGAGGCGGATGATGTGAGGAAGATGACTTCTACTTTTTTAGTAAGTACAATTATTGTAGAATTTTATCTTCATGTGTATTCCGATATTCTTTCCCTTGTACTCATATTCCGTCAGAGGACGATCCTGATCTAGGTTGGACTTGAATTAAGATGGCAAAGTGAAGAGTGCGAAGGACTACGCAGGAGAGGGAGCATGAAACTTAGGAGGGAAGGGATCCCCATGGGGTAACCCCCCTTGGGCAATGCCCTTGTGGGGTAGCCCCATGGGCGCCTTTGGGGTGTCTCCCTTAGACTCCTTCTTGACTTGATGACTTGGACACCGAGATGACTTGGGCTCCGAGATGACATAGGTCTCTCTTGATTTATTGGGTCTGACCCAATTAATTTCGAACTCATCATATACTACTAACAATTTTTTTTTGGTACAATGATTTGTCTCAAAATAGAGATATTTTTTTGGTGAGGTAATTTTTTTTTTTGTTTTTTCCATACATTATTACCAAAAAAAAAAAGAAAGGACAATGAAATTCGAATTAAGATTCAACAACGAGAGGATACTCATGAAGTCAATCGCTATTCTCTTTTTTATTAAGGATTAATTATACTAAAAGTCCCTAAAGTATAGAGTTTATCTCATTTTAGTCTCCAATGTTTCAATTGTATCATTTTAGTTCCTAAAGTATTAAATATGTTTCTATATGATCCTTTAAATAGACAACGTCCAGATTACTAATGATTTTTTATCATAAACTTGTCATGTAATAGCTAAATATGGACAAAAAATAATTTTGATAGCTCTTAAACAATATTTGAGTAGCACTTGACAAAAAAAAGGTGTAATATGGATAGATTTTGACCAAAATTTAGATATCTCATGATTAAAACTGTGTAATTTAGGTAAGTATTTAACCAAAATTTAATCAAGAGTTATCCAAATTATTTTTTTGTCCACATTTAAGTATCATGTGACAAAGTTTGTGATAAAAAAATATTAGTAATCTAGACACTGTCTGCTTGAAAGACCATATAAAAGTATATTCAATACTTCAGGGACCAAAATGATACAATTAAAATATTGGAGACCAAAATGAGACAAATTTCATATTTTAGGGACCTCCAGTGCAATTAACCATTTTATTAACTTATCAGGTTAACTAGGATTCTTTCTCCAACCCGACCCGGTCCTGCCCACCGCACCAATGATAGTTCGAATCCAAATGCGACAGGAACACGAAGACACCATCTCCTCTTTGGTTTTGGCTTTGTCTTCTTCTTCACGAAGTGAATACTCTTTCACTCTCTCTCTGTGTGTCTCTCTCACACACACACGTAGGCACCCAAAAAGTGTTGAAGATTGGCCTATCTTGTCTGACCTTCCTGCTGAGAAATTTTGTGTTTGGGAATTTATTGTATGCAATTTGATAGCTAATTTTGGAATGATCGCTTCAAATCACCCTCATCTGTTTGGTTGTCAAGAAAATTTTTGATTTTGATTCGAAAAAACCCAATGAGGAAGAATGATTTTCTGACTCTAAAAGCAATTGCGAACTGAATCAAAGCAAAGGGTCTTCAGAAACTACGGTGGTACTACCAGATGCGCCAGAAGCAATGCCGAGACGAGAATGGCTTCAAATGCCACTGCATGAGCGAGTCCCACCAGCGCCAAATGGTGGTTTTCGGCCAAAACCCTAACCATATCGTCGATGGATACTCTGAGGAATTCGAAATTGCCTTTTTGGAGCACATGAAGCGGAGCCACCGCTTCAGTAGTGTCACAGCCAAGGTAGTATACAATGAATATATAGCGGACCGACACTATATTCATATGAATTCCACGCAGTGGGCGACATTGACTGAGTTTGTGAAGTATGTGGGGAGGACGAGGGAAGTGTAAAGTTGAAGAAACACCAAAGGGTTGGTTCATTATGTATATTGATAGAGATTCAGAGACACTTTTTAAAGAAAATATGAAAAATAAGAGAATTAAGGCCGATTTAGCAGAGGAAGAGAAACAAGAAAGAGATATTAGGAAGCAGATTGAACTGGCGGAACA